TCCATCATCCCGTGGGGAGAGACAGCAGAAGACCAGTCATAATGTGGTGAGATCAGACCCGTGGAGCTCGTTCAGATTCAGGTTGTGTGAGCAGTCATAGGCAGTGGGTATGGTTGAGGTGGGGCAGGGGTGTGGGGTCCGGGAAAATTTTGAAGTAGAGGTGATGCTTGAGCAGGACATTGAAGGATGCATTTGAGCCCACAGGAATAAAGAGGGTGTAGAGGGATGTGTGTGTGTGTGTGTGTGTGTGTGTGTGTGTGTGTGTGTATTTCTGATAGAAGTGCATGTGGGAAGGCTTGGAGGCCATGGTGTCAGCAGAATGTTCTAAGCAATGAGTAAGATCAAACAGATGAAATCCTTAAGGGCCTTACATTTTTGATGTCTAACTAGGGTTAGCCCTTGAAGAATTCTTCTAAGATGACCAGGCTTCAAAGTCAGCAAATGAAAGGCAGCTGTGAGGCAGAAGCGGGTCCTGCCTGATGATCACGGTCAACAGTCTTCTTGAGGATTTTACAGATGAGACACCGGACGCTAGCGGGTTTAAGTAATGTGCCTGAAATTTCGTGGCTGGGAAGAAGTGGAAGTGAGATTTGAGTTAGAATCTGCCTCGCTCCAAAGACCATGCTTTCCTGTGAATGTAATTTCACCCTTATCTGATGGCTCAAGACTTTGCCTAGCTTCGGGCTCACCATTCTGAACACGAGATTGTCTTGTTCAGTTCGTAGCTGGAGATGGAGCGGCAGGTGCAGGGGCCGAGCGTGCGGACTGACCCCCGGCAGTGCGCACACCAGTAGTCCTCAGACTTCAGACTGCCCGAGAGTCCTCTGGGGAATTCCTCTGATGGCTCCAGCTCTGAAGTCCCACTTCAAAGCGTTTGTCCTGTGACAAGGCCCCTTGGGGGACTCTGATGCGGACGGTACAGGGTTCACACTTTGATGACCACCACCCTGGATGAATGTCTTGTGTGAAGTTGGGTTTCTCTCTCCTTCTCTTCTTTCTTTTCTTCCCTTCTTTCCCTCTCCCTTCTCTCTTCCTCCCTCCCTCCCTTTTCCTTCTCCCTCCCTCCCTCCCCCTCCCTCTCTTTCTCTCCCCCTCCTTCCCTCCTTCTCCCCCTCCCTCTCTTTCTCTCTCTCCCTCATTTCCTTGCTTGCTTGCTTCCTTTTTTCTTTCTTTCTTCCGAGGCTTCTGTTAATTGGGATCCAATGATGTGTGGTGATCACTCTCTCTACGTGTGTGTTCCTTCTCTCTGCAACCAGCATTTGTTCCTTGCAGGCCGGGATCTCGCATTCCGCGTGCCTTTCACAGATACTACACGGGGGAGGGGGGGCACTCCCAGGGTTAAAACGTATACCGGGCACCCCATAACAGTGGGTTACTTTACAAGTAGGTATTTTGAATCACGTAGTTCCGCCAAGGAAGGCGCGCTCAGCACTCAGCTGTTTGCCTTCACTGTCCTGAGCTCTCTGGGAACCGCACACAGTCCTGTTGGGGTCCTGATGGGCAGAACACAGACTCGGGTTTAGTGAGTCCTCTCCCAGCCCAGCTCTCAGCTTTTCCCATGGCCTCTGGCCAAACCTCACTCCTTGGGAATCTCCAGACCTGTGCTTCCCTAGTCATGCTCACCTTCTCCAGGGCTTCTCTTATCTTGCATTTTGAAAAAAGGAAATCCCATTTGAGTTGGTTTTGGATTCAGCTCTCTGTTGCAGCTCGCTTAATATCTGGGGTACCCCCCTTTCTGGTCCTGGCATGTCAGAGCCACGCAGATGGTCTGACCTTGTCCCACGTGGGCAGTTTTCTCCTCTGGGCCCCGGTGACAAGTGGATTCCGGGCATAGCAGATTCCTCGCCTGGTATCACACAAGTGATGGATTCCTGTCCGTCTCTCTGCTTTGGCCTGGGTGCCCGGATCCTGGAGTCATGTTACCTGGGTTCAAATCTTGCTTATGGACTGGGAGTGTGGACACATTTTAAAACCTCTTCAAGCCCACATATCCTCATCTGTAAAATGAGGACTATAAGGTGGTTTTGAGGTTTAAATCAAATGACGCTTGGGAGTGCCTGCTTTATGGGAGGCTCTATGCAATGATTGTTATTGGTGATGATTTTTTATTGTCCCTTCATTTCCCCAATTAAAATTCTATCAATCTTGCAAGGCCCAGCTGGAACTCTGCCTCATCCACAAAGCTTTTTTGTCCACTCAAGTTCGCAGGGAACTCTGTCCTAAATTCTCGTGATCACTCATGGTCAAAGATTAATGCTCAATTGCCTTAAATATTTAATATTGTGTTACTATTGTACTAGGCCCTGATTGGTTTCATTCTTGGTCCCTGGTATAGAGGAAAGTTCTTGAACACTGATAATACAGATTATCTTTTTCTTTTAGCCTCTCTGCTACCAGTTACTAGCCTGAGCTTTTCTTCCGGGTGTCGTGATTAAGGACGTCCAGATCAATACACTTAACATGAACTCATTTGGGATAAACCGAGATAAACTGGCAGCATCTACATGGCAAATGACAACTTCCTGGGGTCTATCACCAGCTGGCTTTATGTAGCTGCTGCTCTTACTAGATAAGGAGAAGGCCCTTGTTCAGGGAGAAGTGCGTTCTAAGGCTGGAGTGTTATTGGTGAAAGACCTTGTTTTGACACCATCTCCATCTAAAACTGGTGGTTAGAATCACTGCAGAACTTAAAAAAAATATTGATGCCCAGGCCACATTCCAGGCCAGTTAAATCCGTGTGTGTGTGTGTGTGTGTGTGTGTGTGTGTGTGTGTGTGTGTGTG